CACACTCACACACACACACACACACACACACACACACACACACATACACACATAAAAAGCCAGTCTCCAAATCTAACTATCAAATTAAAGAAACGCCTGATTAACGCGTAATTAACCGATGTGCACGTGGCGCACGTCTATGGCACGGCAGATGAATACATTATTAACTGATCACGGTAAAACGATACTGCTGCTCTTCCTCAAACAAAGCTGAAGGAAGGTTAGGTAGGGATCAGTTACATGTCATGTCATACTTTTACCTATAGCTTGCTAGTGCCCGTACGTGTAATGTAATCTGTTTCGTTTTAGTTTTAGTTTAAGTAGAGGGTTTTACGGCAGCACTCGCAACTGCATAAGGTCATATGAGCGCCAGAAGATTAGAGGTGTTACAAGAGAGTAACAAACATAAAAAAGAAAAAAGGGGGAGATAAGGACGATAGATGTTTGATAGGAAAGAAGAAGCAAACCACACCAGAGCACCCGGCAACCACCCACAATCTGTTTCGGAAGATCTCATGAATGAATACGATTTGAGAACAGATGCTTTTGGATTTGTCCCCACTAACCTGATCATGATTCGAGGGTGCGGTGGCGGAGCGATTAGTGCGCTCGTCTCCGAAGCGGAAAGTTCGAGTTCGAGCCTCGGTTCGAACACGGATTTTTTTCGCCCCCCCCCCCCAACCGCCCACCCAGTAGTGATGGGTAACTCACTACGAGTTGGGGAGGTAAAGGCGGCGTGGAAAGAAACTGGCCACCCTACCACAATATCCCGAAGGCCCAGGAAGTTGTCTCACTAACAATTTATAACGCAATCCCCAATGTCCGGATCGGATGCGGGAATAGCTTTACTTTGAACTCATCATATATAGATATACCGTGAAGAAGACTAATGGAATGGAAAAACTTAACTGGTGATACGTGCATGCATCCGCGGTGATGTGTGTTTGTGTGTGTGTGTGTGTGTGTGTGTGTGTGTGTGTGTGTGTGTGTGTGTGTGTGTGTGTGTGTGTGTGTGTGCCATTATTTGTGGGTGTACATTTGTGCGTGTGTGTTTGTGTGT